TTATTATTATTATTATTATTATTATTATTATTATTATAACAGAATACTTGAAGTATAAATAGAGCCCGTTCAACCGCCAGAATTAATGTACATAACTGAGGTACTTTTTCACGAGTGCTTGTTTCACAATTCAATTAAGATGACTTAACAAAAATTAATATAACTGGTATTCCTATCTGATCAAATAAATACTCATGTCTTTCATGTTTTTTTTTTTTAACTACTATTGCCAAACAGTTTTTCAAACCGTAATAAATAAGCAAATATTACTCTACAAGCTTCAGTCCAAAGCAAAATGTGTGGATTTGTTACATGTAAAACCGGCCATAGACAGTCTTGATTGCACAGCAACTGTTTTCCGTTTTATTTTTAAAATGGTTGGGTTTTCAAAACAAATTACAAAATGAAACGACAAGCGGAGTGTCGGTAATGTCTAAGAACATGTAAAAAAACAATATGAAATTTAGCTTGGTTGAAAATCATCAAGTTTCCGAAAAGCCTCTGCATAGTTAAATATCTATGCTCTCTGCAGTAGTGTTATTATTCTGGCGGACAAAACAGCGGTTTATCTTTATCTGGATAATTCTATTTATTTTGTGCCGGTAACGAACCAATGAGAATACCACTACTAGTACCAGTGCGACTGAAACCACAGGAATACCAATGATCATGCCCAGGTTATTTTTGTGATCAGCTGTAAGACAATAATAATACAATCATTAGTCAATTAATTTTACAAATTGCAGCTGATGTTCATTGGAAACCACGTACACCTACGACTTGATAGTTTCTTATCTGAGCTGTTTACCTTCTACAACCCTGTGATCCTGGTTGTAACACTGAGATTTTATCCCCTCCATTTCTCTTGAACTAATGTTTAAAAGTCTGCATAATTGAGCCAACTGGCCCATCGCCCCAGTCCTTATCCCCCAGTCTCTTCAGCATGAAGTCACTGGGAATATTTCTTCTAGCTCCGGGACCATCAGGACAGGATGCTAGTCCATCCCCGGGTTACCCACCCAACATTAAATTTGCCAGCACTCATTTATACACCTGGGTGGAGGGAGGCACTGCAAGAGTTAGGTGTCTTGTCCAAGAACACAACACTGTTCCCACCTCTGAACCTGGCTGCTCAATCCAGAGTAGACTGCACTAACCATGAGGCCACTCAGTGCCTCTTCTCTTGAACTTGTACCATTCTCCTTTATTCGTAGATGGAAGCACAAGGCACTTCCAATGTTATTACAAAACTGATTGGGTAAATTAAACA